CGAGACGATTTTTTAAGCCTAATTAATCTGTCATTAGCACATATTTACTGTAGCACCACGTTGTCAAATCATGGACTAATTAGGCTTAAAAGATTCGTCTCACAAATTAGTCGCGAGTTGTGTAATTAGTTTCGTAATTAGTCTATATTTAATACTTCATGCTTGTGTCTAAATATTCGATGTGACAGAAATTTTAGGAGCACCTGTAAAAACCAAACAGAGCCTAAATTTGCAGGTGGAAGCTGGAACCAGGAGGAGGATCTGTGCCAAAGGGGGGGCGAAGAAGTAGACACCCCTTTCTCCTGTTTTACACTTAAAATAGCTAAGAGCGAGGTCAACTTAAGAACATTTCAAGGGTTGGGTTAGCTGTCAAGCGATAAGGCTAGCGCCTGTTTGGAACGAAGGACTGGAAAACATAGAAATGGGTAAAAACAAAGGAATATGATAGATGTATAGTGGTAAAATAGAGGAAAGAAAAAATACAGGAATTGAGTAGATAAGGGTGTTTGGAACACAGGAATTCATAACACTGGAATTATAGAACATCAACATGTGAATGATAAATGACCATCATTAGTGCTTAATGAAATGATAATATGTTAATTGCACATTTTATCTATGAATATCTTGTACGTGGGGCCATTGGACCTTCATGCAAGTGGGAGGCAAATAAAAATACAGAAATAATCTCATCCATTCATTGCTTTCCCATGCGTTTCTCTCTCTCCTCTTTTCCAGAAGCACGTCCGCACAATCTGGAGCACGCGCATGCGGCGGCTGGGCGTGGCTGCCGGGTGCGACGAGGCCGCGGTGGGGCGGGGCGGCCGTCGGGAGCGGGCGGCGCAGAGAAGCGGAAAGCCGAGCGGGGCGGGCGACGCGGCCTGAAGCGACGCAGCGGCCAAGCGCAAGCGGCGTGGGGTGGTGGCCGGACGTGGGGAGGATGAGCGGATGCGGCGGTGCGGCGCCTGATTCTTCCATTCATACTGTGATTAGCTGTTCGTTTATCTCTTTCTCGTCTGAGTTTCCTCGGGCAAGCGCGAAGGAAATGAAATCCAGAGATCAGAGTGATTCTTTTTTTTACTGCAAAACGAGCGTTTGCCTGCAGGATTCAAGAGGAAAGGAATTGACATTACCTTTGTTCCAAACGCGCATTCTCACTTCGTTTCCTCCGTTCGCAATTCCTATACTTTTCCTTAGATACTCCTACAATCCAAACGGGACCTTAGATTTTTCTTCCTTTTTTTTGGAAACTTCAAAATCAATTAAAGGACAATTGTTTCTGGGATACAAACGCCTTGCGGCGGTGTGACCAGCCACACATTCCTGGGCACTAGTATCCGCTGGTGAAGTTTCCATACCAACACCTATACCCGTCAAGTACAGTGACCTCAAAAGGTACTTACCGTTTCTCTACGTCTAAAAAGACTCTAAAATAATTATCTATTCAACGATACCAAAAACTGTATACTATCCGGTCACAACAAACGTGTACAGAGTAAAGTAATCATCTACCCGGTCATTAAAAAAAACTGTATACTATCTGGTCACAACAAACGTGTACAGAGTCCGTGTCGGAGTCAATTCTGAGTTCGCGTCATAGACGGTTGGCAGCCTCACATTATTTATAATTTCAAAGGCACATACGAGCTGGGCTCATTGGTTTAATTTAATTCCAAAAGGCACGAGTCCGTGTCGGAGCCAATTCTGAATTCACGTCGTAGATGGTTAGCAGCCTCACAATATTTATAATTTCAAAGACCCGTACGGGTTGGGCTCATCAATTTAATTTAATTCCAAAAGACACGTACGGATGGACAGGATCATCCCAACATCCGGCGCCCCTCCTCCCAATCACCGTAATTGCTACAGCTCTATCTTGGCAGCTACTCTCTCCATCCCAAATTATAAGACGTTTAACTTTTTTGGCTCCAAGTTTGACCACTCGTCTTATTCAAAAAATTTGTGCAAATATAGTCAAATTTAAGTCATTCTTGAAGAATTTTTATTAATAAACCAAACCGCGATGAGAGAAGTGATATTTTACACAAATTTTGAATAAGACGAGTGGTCAAACTTGGTGTCAAAAAAATCAAACGTCTTACAATTTGTGATGGATTGATAATCTCAGAGTCACAGGGGATCAAAGCTGAGGCTAATTTCTTTTTAATTTTTTGAAGATTATATCTACTGTTATATAAGTCTTAACAACCCCCCCCCCCCCCCCACGGCTTTGTACGCGCGCCACGCGTTCCTGTTTGGCCGATTGGTGGACCCTCCGGAGTCCGTTGCCTCCGTTCAGCCCTTCACACGCGCAGTCACCCCTGCCCTCCTCGCGTTCCAGATATCAATCCCCAACAATTACGCGCTGCCGGTTGCCGACTCCCCCGCTACCAGGCGCTGCACCACGCCTCCACCGCCCGGCCCGACGCTGCTGAGTCCGCTGTCGTTCAACAGGGAGAAGAAGACGGTGGCGCGTCCGGCGCCCAAGGCAACTCGCGTTCTCGTGGTCTCATTGCTTCTTGGAGGCCGAGGTGCATGCCATCGTGGTGCAGGACTAGCCGCAGGTCAGAGGCTCCCAGCTGTCGTCCCTGAGGCCGGCCGCGTTCACCGAGAAAACAGTTGTCCCAGTGCTGGGCTCCAGTCGATCGAATCTGCCAAGCTCGGAGTGGCCGATCCATGCAGCAGGTGATGAGCTTGGTCCTCTGCTCGAATCAAATCTGCCTACTGCCCGCGTAGGCTCGTAGTGGCTGCTGCTCGTGCCAAAGTCCGACTTGCAGCTCTCGAACTGCTCTGCCACACGGCGTAGCTGCGAGCTTGCGACCGCCTAAGCGCACCTTGCCCCGGCGGCCGGCCTGCAGGCAACATGGCATGCCAGCATGGAGGCGCAATGAAACGAGGCCCGACTCGGTGACTCCTACACGCCATCTCGAATCCTCTGTCTCGCTCACTGCTCCAAACGGCCAGCCGCAGAAGCATACGAGCAGACAAGTACCAATATACAGCATGGAATCTCGTCATTATCAAATGTATCAATCCAGCTTGGAAAAATAAAAAGCCATATAAAGGCAAACTTCATTTTTCGCATCACAGTCAAGGAACATTAACTAAACATGGCATGTAATGTATGAGACGCAAAATTAAAGTTCACAGCATTGAAGACCGCTTACTTTTCAATGGCACAATAGAATGGGTAAAAGTTTTGATGGCATCGAAAAAAAAGGATTTTGTATTTTCTATGTAGCAGATTTGTATATTTCTTAACATGTTCGTCTTAGCCGTAAACCACGTATGCCGCCATAGGCATAGACAAAATTTTGTGACCCGTAACGCATTTGAGCATATATCTAGTAACAATAAATATGACTTCCCCTCAAGAAAAAACAATAAATATGACTGGCTATTTTCAAATTCGGGGAAATATTATTCCAGTCGTCCCCTCATTCTCTGATTTTTTTTTTGCATTAAATATGTAGATATGGCACAATATAAATGAAGAAAAAGATAATAAAAATTTCATGAGATTAAACTTGTTTGCACTGACTCCCACCAGCCTCGGCAGACGTATCTACATTGTACAGGGTGTTTGACTGTTTGTAAGTTGTAACACTGTACGTAGTGCAGCTCCAGCTAGCACAGCGGCCCCTGTTTTATCGGCCGAGATGGATCTACTAGCGCATATCTAGACACGACAATCCTCCCTTTTCCTGCAGCGTGCCGCCGACTGGACGCCGGCCGCGACCGGCCACCCCCCGCCAGGCAGATTTGCAGCTTGCAGGTGGAGTGCCAAATTAATCGGGCTGGGATTTATTTCCCGCTTTCCACGACGTAGTCGGTAGTCCTGTCCTGTCCTGCCCTGCCATGGCTGCCGATGCTGCGTCGCCCGCGCGGCACCGTGGCGTGGCAAACTCGCCGCTGCCCACTGCAGTCCACAGGTGCAGCAACAGTCCGCCGCCTGGCCTCTTGCGTGTGCGGAGCTGACCGCCATGCCCTGATGCCCCCATGCATGCCTGCTGCTTGGCCTGCGTCGTCGAGCGAGAAGAATTGGCCGGCCGGCCGGGGCGCGCATGCACGCACGCGCATGTTCGCTCACGTTCAGGGGTTAGATCGATTGGCATCCTTTTCCGCGATCGATTCCATCTTTACTGAAGATCTGAAGCATCGGAAAGCGGATTCGATGAGTGCTCGCTATGCGATTGCATTGCGAGTTTGCGACGCGGATCGGCCGCTCAGGGCTTCAGTGGCACTCACTGTGCATGCATGCTCGCTCGCTAATGAAGGGCAGGCATGATGGCATGATGCACGTTCTGCGCGCAAACTAGTACCACGTCAGAAAAGTGAGAGAGACAGTTTCATTTTTTCTTTTCTTTTCTACACGTACGTATATGTTGCAGTAGCAGTATATTTTACGCGCATGTCACTGGACTGATGTCTGTGGATATAATAAGAGTCTATTCAGTAGTGTATTCTACACACAGCACTAGCCTTCAGTGCCTGAATAATCGATGATGCAGGAGGACGCCTTGGGAGTTGTGGTGTCAAGGGCTGAAGAACGGACGCCCTGTTCAACCTTTTACGTACTCGATCAGATCAGATCATGTAAGCACCAGCAGCCATGTGAAAATCTAGACACCGAAACACACCGATTCAATTCTGTCTTTTTTTTAGGGTATCATTTTTTTGCGAAGTTTTAGGGTATCAATTTAATTCTAACAACCAACGAACAGCTTCCTGCACTGTACTTAAATAGAAGAAACACAACGGCTGACGTGTCAATGAGCTTCAGGACGCGCACGGGCCGTGTGGCCGCGCCGGGACCCCGACGACCTCTGCCCGCGCGGCGCGCCCTGCACACACGCGTATTTATACCGCCGGCCGAGCCTGCTAGCTAGAGTACCACGCCTCCACAGTCTACTGGCAGCGCGCGAACTGCAGCCTGCAGGTGAAGGGCGCGAAGCAGTAAGAGAGAGAGAGAGAGGCGAGGTAGACGTACGGCGGCGGTGATGTCGCAGCTGCAGGCGGCGGCGTCGTCATCCAGTGGAGCTCCTACTACCCCTGCACTTGAAGCCGACCTCGAGGGGAAGCTCCTCCTGCACGACGACAACGTGTCGCCACTGGCAGCGCCGCCGCAGATCAAGCGAGGGGAACGGCGCCAGCCTCGTGAGGGCGGCGCCGACGTCGTCGGTGACCAACGCGAGAGGTTCCTTCGCGCGTACGACCGCCTACGGGACGAGCTCCTCGACGACGACTCGTGCGAGCTCACCGACGAGGCCAGGCGCTGGGTCGCGCAGGTACATACAGCATACGTACGGTAGACTTTGCGCACGTACATACGCAAATGTTCCTCGGTGCATGCATGCATGTATGGTGCACCTTGCACGTTCATGAGCAGCGTGCCAGCGTCACATTAACGTAGTTATTTTAGCACAAATCGAAAGATCAATCCGAACATGCACGTTTTGGCTTGGCCCACTTAAGAAGCGCACGCACTCCAAGTCTGTAGCCTTCTACCATTTTGGCCCATTAAGTACACGTTTCTCTGCAAAATTCGGCAAATTTGGGCCCATTTAAGAGCCTGACCCTGCCACGTTTCTCTGCAAAATTCGGCCCATTTAGGCCTGTATGTACAAATAACCCCCTAGGAGGCTATAGGACAAAGTAGTGACAAACCATGCCTAACCACCATTGATCACTGATGTGTTCCTCTCGATTTTTTAAAAAGAATAGCATACGTGCACAGTTTTTATAGAACCTGCAGAAACTGAACGTTTGATGCGGTATAAAATAGATTCATTTGATCCACGAACTCGAGATGAGTTAAGTCATTGTACATGCACCGTGCGAGTCTCATCCATTCTCTGTTGTATTCTTTCAGATGATTGACTACAACGTGCCTGGAGGTGAGGAGGCATCCATCAGAGATCAGACCACTACATAGCACCAGAACCTCATTTTGTAACACAACAGAGCAAAGTTTCCGAGTTCATATATTTGGACATATTCAAATTAAGTAGAAGCTGATGATACCATATAGTACAAAACAAAAGACTTATGAGCTTTGAAATCTCAAGCAAAATCCAGAGTGGATCTCTACAGCTATATAAACTCTTCTAACACGCTAACCGTACCTTTTCTTTTTAAGGGAAACTGAATCGAGGTCTGTCAGTGGTGGATAGTTACTTGCTGTTGAAACAAGGAAGCGAGGTTGCTGAAGATGAATTCTTCCTCGCTTGTGTTCTTGGCTGGTGTGTCGAGTGGGTAATGTTGCTGATGACCCTTCTAACTATGATTGTTCTGGTCAAAAGAACGAAATTTCTGATTATTTTGTTGCAATGAAATACATGCAGTTTCAAGCATGTGCATTGCTACTTGATGATATCATGGATGATTCTCATACAAGGAGAGATCAGATTTGTTGGTACCGACGGCCTGAGGTCCTTCAAATGACATCTCACTTTCTCTTCTCTATGTATCCATTTTTATCATTTGAGTCCAGAATTTGTCTATTCAATTAAGCTACAAAGTATATTCGTTTTCTTCCTTTTTTTAGGTTGGTCTTCATGGCATAAACGACGGTATTGTACTGAAATGCCACATCGCACGCTTGATAAAAAAGTACTTTAGAGAAAAGCCTTACTACATAGACATCTGTGAACTATGGAACGAGGTCAGTCCCCTTCGGATGAAAACACTACAGAAATCGGCAAATTTGTAACAACCATAGTTTTAAATCTCCCGCTATAGCCCGTTATAGCCTTTTGAGGCAGGGTGCCTCTATTTGAGTTTATATATCCCGCTATAGCCCGATATAGCTCCGCTGTTAGCTGATTTAGAGATATACCGCTAAACACCTTAGCCCGCTATTTAAAACATTGGCAACAACACAAGTCAATGACTACTATTTGGATCTCACGTGCAGATAGCATTGCAGACTTCGCTTGGACAGATGCTTGATCTTATCAGCACACATAATGTGGCGAATGACGTTGCAAAATACAATATTGAAGTGTATGTGATTTATCTGACTGGTTAAATTAAATATTCCATTGTCTGTGCTAATGCATTTTTCTTTTGCTGCATAGGTACCGTCGTATTGTCAAGTACAAGACATCTTACTACTCTTTTTATCTTCCTGTGAGTCTGAAGTTCAGAATAACTACCTATTCTCAGTCATGCATATGAAAATATTTATCTTTTGTATTCTTATGAAAAATCATGTGCTAAGCTATAAATGTTGTCTAAAAGCTATTTTTCAGCACATATTATTAGTAGACATATAAATGTTGTCTAAAAGCTATTCTTCAGCACATATTCTTAGTAGGCTTGCCAACGAAAAGGTGTTTCCATCAGGTGGATTTATTGGGAGATTTTTAATATGAAATTTGAGTGTGAACTGAATCCTAACGAACTGAACACAAAGGACCCTGTCCAAGCATGCCCCAATAATTAAACATCGTTAGCACACCTAGCAATTGCTCAACGGATTTGCCTTTTGAATTAAATTTCATACTCACTCCCCAGCTTCACACCAATCCTTCCACGATGATGATATTCCTTCATAAGATAACTTTTAGTACTACATTACATATCTACCGCTCTTTTGAATTAAGACACTCAGATTTTGTCCTCTACAATGGCTTTAGGTGGCTTGTGCATTGCTGTTGTATGGCGCAAAACTTGAAAACTTCAGTGGCCTAAGGGATGTGCTTATTGAAATGGGCATATATTTTCAGGCACAGGCATGTCATTTTTTTATGGAATATTACGGCTGGTGCTAGTTTACATTTCCCTTGACAGCTACCCAACATTATATTTTCCAGGATGATTATTTGGATTGCTTTGCAGATCCTAATACAATAGGGAAGGTAAAATAGAGGTCAAAATATTACCGTAAAGTTATTTTTAACAGTAATAGGTATGTCATGTTGTGCTCTTCTCCATTGTAGATTGAACTGATATTGAAGATCACAAGTGTTCCTGGTTAATTGTACAAGCTCTTGGCCATGCCAACAGTGACGAGATAGAAGTACTGCTGGTAAGTAATTTGTTAATAATCGTTTAGCTGATAATTCAATGAAAAATGACATCATACATTGTTTTCTAGAAAAACTATGGAAAGAAGGATTCAACTTCGGTTTCAAAAGTGAAAAACACTTATTCTACTCTTGATTTGAAGGTAACTGGATTGAGACACATGGATGCTGTTTTCCAACTTATTTTATGCTTAAGTCATAATGAGCATGCTATGATATTTGAAGTTTGAACTTTTAGTAAAAAATTGGTCGTTTGCGCGCTCTGCAAAACAGACATGAGAGATGAGAGGGGGGGGGGGGCATATATTGTTTTTTCCCAAACTTATATTTTATAGTTCATGCAGCATTCCTATTCCAGCATCTTCAGTTGACATGATTTCCTGTCATCCGACTTTATGAGATTTTTGTAGTGAGGCAATGTGATGCATTTAACTCTGATGGAGTCATTTATTTGTTGGAAGTTGAAAGTTGAAACTTCAAATTTCAATCAGCTTGCCCTCATTTGCCTCAACATGACTCTTCTGTTGTGTCCCAGGACATCTTCTCTGAGTTCGAAGATCGAGCTTACAAACACTTGGTCACATCTATTGAAGCTCAAAATGATCGCGCGGTGCAGGAGATCCTGAAATCCTTTCTGAAGAAAATCCATCGCCGGAAGAAGTAGACGAAGACGACGGAGATTGCCTAGTTCCCACTGACCTATATCTCATGAGGAAGACGACCGCACACACCTATGTTATCAACGTGATTTTCCTTTTCCATTCATTAAGATTATATTCATGCCATGTTCAGAGCAGATTGATTATCTAGATTGTGGTTGATGTGAAAAATGTGTGTCTTATGTGCGACGTGCATTCCATTCATTAAGATTATATTCACGCCATGTTCGGAGCAGATTGATTATCTAGCTTGTGGTTGATGTGAAAAATGTGCGGCTTATGTGCCACACGCCAAACACTGTGCGCTTTACGTGTGACGCTAGACTGGGAGTTCTGACCAGGACTCGGAAGTTCCGATGTCAACCGGATGTCCAGTGCCATCCCACATCTACATGCATAGTAGCATAGATGTGACGAAATGGCAATCGTTATGGTTTTATGGTAAAGGACTAGCAAACCACAACTTTTGTAGCAATGGACATCTCCAAGCATGCTAGTGAGGGCCGTTAAAATGTGCATATAAGAGGGGCCCCATTAGAGCATGCACGACTTTAGTTTGCCATATGTCAGCAGCAAACCTAGGTTTTGAATATTGAAGATCAGCAGATAAACAACAATAACTGAAATTGGAAAAGTAGGTAAACATGAAGAGAATGTAACAAACATATTAGTACATTTTGTTGAGGGTTTCATTTTTTGGGATATTGGCCCTTTAAATTTATATATATAGAGTAGGAAGGCCTTACGCCATGTAGAGTGAGTCACTTAAAAATATGCCTTCAACCAAAACAACCTCAAATAGACATAACATGGGCTAACCTAGAAGCCCCTAGGTCGCTCCTAGGGTGGCACATACCTCGTCCCCCCTATGAGTATATATAGAACCGCAATGATGTCCATTGATGCACTAGTTTGTACATTAAGGTTCTCCTACCGGTAATCCACCCAAGAGCCTGACGACTCCTATCCCATATTCATAGCATTATCGATGGTGATGTGAACATCATCATGCCATGTTCTTGCTTGGCTGCTCATGTTATATCCCTATGGTCCATGGAGAACACCTTTGTTTAGAAAAAGAATGCTTGCCCTAAACTATCATGGTAAGTGGGGGTAAGAACTTAGGAATGAGCAAGTAGGGCAAGAGAGCTATCAACTTGTGGTGAGAACTCTTATAAACATGTCTGATAAAACATGAGTCTTGTACTATTGTAGTGAGAACTCTTTGAACCCCAATCATAAGACATGAGTGAGTCTACATGGGGTATATGAGACAATAATGTCCCTAGACCCCTTAACTATTACAATATGTTCACATACTACTCCCTGAGATATCAAAGTTACTACATCCATTTGACGATGGACAGTTGGACACTACAATAGGAGCTGGAACGATTGTTAGGGACACTAGAGCAATGTTCTCAAGTCCATAAATACCACCCCACAACGCCATCCGGATGAAATTGATGCTATATTAGTCTTGTGGGTCTCGGTAGCCCCAATCAAGAGCCCCTTATGCGGGAACATTCCATGGGGCTTGGTATCGTTCAGGTCGCTCAAATATGTAACGTATCAATTTTTGTGCCAAGATTATTAGATAGCAAAAAATACATAAACTTTTTTTAAAAATTTTCTTTTACTGGATTGTGTGTTTACATGTAGATCTAATCAAACATCCCTTCTTATCTTAATTCAAAAATCCACCTCAAGGTTTTATTTTAAAAATTCAAAAATTCGTCGACAAAACCCAAACCTCTAGAAGGTTAGTTTTGAACCAATACTTGTATAAACCGATATTTGTTTGAATCAACACTTACTCTAAACCAATATTTTTTTCAAACTATGTTTGGACAAGTTGTCTTGGCTAGAATTGAAGAGCCTTAAAACCAACATATTCTGAAAACTCACAACCATTCCCTTTTAGAAAAAACGCCTTAGAAATATTCACATAAACAAGAACCATTTAATTAGAAATTGGTTTTCAATAAAACTACTTGGAATTATTTTACCCATATTTTTGGAAGTTAGTGGCAGTATTCCATGAAAGAATAAGCACAAATCAGGAAGAATATAAAAAATGCAAAAGGAGAAAAAAAACTGTAAAAGAATTGTTTGAAAAAGGAACGGCCCATGGGCGTGTTCGCTGGTTGGTGCTGGTGCTGGTTTGAGTTGACTGGTGCTGGTTTTTTGTGAGAGGAAAATACTGTTGGCTGGCTGGTTTGGGCTGGCTGAAACCAACGAGCGAACAGGCCGCATGTCGCACTAGAAAAGCCCGCACGGCTGCGCTCCCCTCGGCCGTACACCTCCGACTGGGCTATTGCGGCATTGCCGCCGCCGCCGCCGCCGCCGCGTGCGCTCTCTTTCTCTCTCGCTCTCACTGTCGCGCGGCGACGAGCCGACGACTGGGCTACCGCCGCCCTACGCCAGGGGCCCAGGTCTTCATCGGGCTCTTCGCTAGCAGCGAGCTCCCACCAGGTATGCCTGCCCCTGCTGCTTCCCTTCACAGCTTCCCTCACTGCTGCTGCGCGAAACCGAGCACCCAAACCATAACTTAAGCTATTTGTCTATTTGCAATCGGATCTGATCTAATCGCAAGTGTATACATGTATTACGCCTGCTAACTTCTAGTTTATTTTTGCAAAAAATTATACGGTGTACATGTCTCGTGTACTCCCATGTCCTCTACTGGGTCCGCTCCTGGTTGTGAGACCAACACTCGGTCACTTGTGCTTGCTGTTCAGCAAGCTACCATTAAGTCAATAGTATATGCAGTATATCTAGGAACAGCTATTGGTTGACAGCATGTGTGTAGACAGCGTAGTTATATTAGGTGGTAAATTTGATTCTGGCTTAACAGCACTGTTTACTACAGCAATTCTGTGTTACAGCGATTTAGAAGACAAGTTCTAGCATCACATGAATGTTGGACTATTGGATGGCAAGTAGCTTGTTTGACTAGGCAGAGTTTGTATCATCATGTTGCAGTAATAATCAACTTTGTAGCTGCGTTGGTAGCACTTGTTTTCAATGTTTAGTTAACAGGATTAGGGTTTTGAAGGTTCAACGTTTGCGCTAAATGTTCCTCCTCTCCTAGTTTTTGAAGTTTGAACTTACCTATAAAGCACACTAACACAGTGAACTTGTAGAAAAAGTGACTTCTTTCTTTTTTTTAAAAACATGTTTGTGCTTCACTCGAGAACTGTTTTGCATAAGTTTATTAGTAGCAGTACCTTCCTGACATTTGAAATAATGGCACCATAATCTATGAGATCACAAATAAAACAGATGAAATGTTGTCATTTTGAAAAGAAATGCTCATCTATCACGATTATTTGATCTTCTTTGCTTCGCCATGCTCAATCTCTCTGTACATTTATATTATACCAGTGCAACACTTCTGCAGTTTCACTGTAGACTTAACAGAACACTGATTCCTGATTGATTTGGTGCAGATCTCCCATTCATTTTTTTGAAATAAAAATCCTTGGGTTTGGGATGGCATCACCTATCCAAATGACTGCAAGCAATCTATTACGCACAGAAGGCTTTTCTGGAAATATGGTATGCAATCTATCATCTATGAAGTAACACAACTTTTTTTTTTGGCTGGCATTAGTTTAATCTTATGTTTTTTATCTACATAGGGACAAAGATATGGTTTAATTGCTGCGAGAAGTCTTGGATCAAGAAGGTTGCGAATGACTCAACATTGCTTTCATCAACAGCATCTTTGTTGGAGACATGTACAAAGAGGTGTGGTTCGTAATATCAGATCATCATCATCTCCTGGGGCTGTGGTATCCAAGGGGTTTGACAGTTCATTAGTTGAGAAACCTGATACTTCATTGGATGTTGGAATTATTCATTTGTACCGTATACCATTTCTTCAAGAAAGTGAAACTATGGAGCTGCTCAAGAAAGTGAAGGCGAAGGTTTCTGCTAAAATTGTTGATATACTGACCGAGCAGTGCTTCAACATTCAATTGGATAATCCACTCACCCCTGAGAAGCTTTCAACGCTTCATTGGCTCTTAGCAGAAACTTATGAACCAGACAAGTTGCAAAGTAGGAGCTTTCTGGAGGAGGAAGTATCTAGAAGTTCCTGTGCTGTTATTGTTGAGGTCGGTCCCCGGATGACATTTTCGACGGCATTCTCGACCAATGCTGTCTCAATTTGTAAATCTCTCTCATTAGTAGAAGTGAGCAGACTGGAGCGGTCAAGAAGATACCTTTTGCGCCTTGAGCCTGGTAGTGGTCCACTTGATGAAAGTCTGCTCAAAGAATTTGCTGCATTGGTTCACGATAGAATGACAGAGTGCATTTATCCCAAAAAGCTGACATCATTTCAGTCAGATGTAGTTCCTGAACCTGTCTGTGTTGTTCCAGTCATTGAAAGAGGAGAAGAAGCATTGGAAGAAATAAATGTGAAGATGGGGCTTGCTTTTGATAAACAAGATATTGACTACTATACACACCTCTTCAGAGATGATATTAAACGCAATCCGACTACAGTGGAACTTTTTGATATTGCACAATCCAATAGCGAACACAGTAGACATTGGTTTTTCAATGGAAAACTTGTTATAGATGGAGAGACCATGCCTGCCACTTTGTTCCAGTTAGTGAAGAGCCCTCTGAAAGCCAACCCCAATAACTCTGTCATCGGGTTCAAGGATAACTCGAGTGCAATAAAAGGATTTCCAGTAAACCATCTACGCCCAACAATTCCAGGTTCCAGTTCACCATTATCCATCATGATGCGTGAGCTTGATATTTTATTCACAGCAGAAACCCATAATTTTCCATGTGCTGTTGCGCCATACCCGGGAGCCGAGACAGGTGCAGGTGGCCGAGATAAGAGACACGCATGCCACTGGAAAGGGTTCTTTTGTTGTTGCTTCCACTGCTGGTTACTGTGTTGGTAATCTTCAATTGACAATTCAAATGCACCCTGGGAGGACCTTCATTTTCTTACCCAGTGAATCTGGCCTCTCCATTGCAAATTCTTGTCGATGCTAGTGTAGGGGCCTCTGACTATGGGAACAAGTTTGGTGAGCCTCTAATTCAGGGATATACCAGAACATTTGGGATGAGGTTGCTAAATGGGGAGCGGCGTGAATGGTTGAAGCCTATAATGTTCAGTGGAGCTATTGGGCAAATTGACCATGCACACATATCAAGTGTGATCCAGAAATTGGCATGCTAGTTGTGAAGATTGGTGGTCCAGCATACAGAATTGGTATGGGCGGTGGTGCTGCCTCGAGTATGGTTAGTGGCCAGAACGACGCAGAGCTTGATTTCAACGCTGTACAGCGTGGAGATGCTGAGATGGCACAGAAATTGTATCGTGTGGTCAGGGCATGTGCAGAAATGGGAGAATAACCCTATCATTAGCATTCATGATCAGGGTGCAGGAGGAAACTGTAATGTTGTTAAGGAAATAATATATCCAAAGGGTGCTGAAATTGATATCCGTGCAATTGTTGTTGGTGATCATACATTGTCGGTCTTGGAGATATGGGGTGCTGAGTACCAGGAACAGGATGCGCTTACTTGTGCAACCTGAGAGCAGAAGCCTGTTAGAGTCGCTTTGTGAGAGGGAAAGAGTTCCAATGGCTGTCATTGGGAAAATTGATGGCTGTGGAAAAATTGTGTTGATTGATAGCGCTGCTGTGAAGAATGCCAAGTTGAATGGCCTCCTCCTCCATCCCCTGTTGAAGAACTTGAGCTTGAAAAAGTTCTAGGAGACATGCCTCAGAAGACCTTCAAGTTCAAGCGTGTTTCTCATGTCACAGAGCCTTTAGACATTTCACCTGAGGTAACACTTTTGGATGCTCTGAAGCGAGTATTAAGGCTCCCATCTGTGTGTTCAAAGCGTTTCTTGACCACAAAGGTTGATAGGTGTGTGACAGGCCTTGTTGCACAACAGCAGACAGTTGGACCTCTCCAACTTCCGCTTGCTGATGTGGCTGTGATTGCACAGACATACACAGACCTAACAGGTGGTGTTTGCAGCATTGGAGAACAACCAATAAAGGGTTTGCTTAATCCTAAGGCCATGGCCAGACTTGCTGTTGGGGAGGCCTTGACTAATCTTGTCTGGGCTAAGGTTACATCACTTGCTGATGTCAAAGCAAGCGGGAATTGGATGTACGCTGCAAAGCTTGATGGCGAAGGTGCAGATATGTATGATGCAGCTGTCGCATTGGCTGACTGCATGATTGAACTTGGTATTGCAATAGATGGGGGAAAAGACAGTCTTTCCATGGCAGCCCAATGTGATGGTGAACTCGTCAAGGCTCCTGGAAATCTGGTCATCAGTACTTACGTGACATGTCCTGATATAACATTGACAGTAACCCCTGATTTGAAGTTACCTGCTCACCAGACATAGAAGTTTTTGTTGATGGCAATCTGCATCTCAAGGAAAAAACTTCAGATCTCAGGGATCTCTGGGAGGAAACGAGCTTCCAGCTTGAGGAGTTACAACGTCTGAAATCTTGTGTCAAACTTGAGAAAGAAGGATTAAAATGCAGAACATCGCCATCATGGTCTCTGTCTTTTACTCCCAAATTCACAGATGAGAAACTGTTGATTGCTTCCTCAAAACCAAAGGTCGCTATCATTCGTGAAGAAGGGAGCAATGGGGACAGGGAAATGGCTGCTGCATTCCACGCTGCTGGGTTTGAACCATGGGATATCACAATGTCAGACCTCTTGGCTGGGAAGTCTTCTCTAACAGAGTTCCGTGGGATTGCGTTTGTTGGCGTTTTTAGCTATGCAGATGTGCTAGATTCAGCGAAAGGTTGGGCTGCATCGATCAGGTTTAACAAACCCCTCGTTCAGCAATTTCAGGATTTCTATCATAGGCCAGACACGTTCAGCCTTGGAGTATGTAACGGTTGTCAGCTTATGGCTCTTCTTGGCTGGGTGCCAGGATCTGATGTTGGAGGTTCTCTTGGTAAAGGTGGAGATATGTCCCAACCCAGGTTTATTCACAATGAATCCGGTCGTTTCGAGTGCCGGTTTACCAGTGTGTCCATTGGGGATTCTCCTGCTATCATGTTCAAGGGGATGGAAGGTTCTACCTTGGGTGTTTGGAGTGCTCACGGCGAGGGAAGAGCTTTCTTCCCAGATGAAAATGTTCTAGCTACTGTTGTGAAGTCTAATCTGGCACCTGTGAGATATTGCGATGATTTTAACAACATAACCGAGACCTATCCCTTCAATCCTAATGGTTCTCCACTAGGTATTGGAGCCCTTTGCTCCCCTGATGGGAGGCACCTTGCTATGATGCCGCATCCGGAGCGTTGCTTCATGATGTGGCAATACCCATGGTATCCCAAGGAATGGCAGGTTGAGAAGAGTGGCCCCAGCCCTTGGCTGCGGATGTTCCAGAATGCTAGGGAATGGTGTTCATAGTGCAGGTAAATTAGTCTTATTAACTGCTTTCTGCTTCTGTTTGTGGCACTATGAAATCAATTTTAGCAGAACCTTTAACTTCCTGTGCACCGTTACATTTCCGTAGAACCAATGGTTAGGACTGAGAATGTTATTAACATGTTATTAAGTTTCATTTCGTAGAACCTTATTCTCTCCCTTTTTAACAAACTACACTGATTGAACTTTTGGATACACAGAGAAGCCATGTGTTGGTCTGTTTGAATGATTCAATGACCCAATTAGCCTAGCTGTCAGATTGTCACAAGTCAGCAAGACAATCAATCAGTCCAAATTACCTAATAGATTTAAAAATTCCAGAGTCCCTGTCAAAGCAACATTTACTCTTGATTTAACTTTATCTGCTACTTTGTGTATGATCTATAAAGTTGCTGAGCACTTTATTCTCTTTATGTTCTATCGGAATTTTCTGTTTTTTTTTTGGACACGTAGGAGAGCTGTGTATCTTTATATTAAGAAGAAAAGGGGCAAGAATCCTTACAACATACACCTGAAATTTTGTGTTGCAGCTGGACTTTGAGCTTTCTTGTTCGTTTCCGTGCTCTGTTTGGTGCAGCTTGCCATATTATGCTTAATAGTTGTTCTAAGTTTGGTGCAGCTTGCCGTATCGTGCTTACTCTACTAGTTGGGCTATATGATTTTGCAGGGCAGTGTCTGGCTTCAGCGATGTGGTCATCACCGGGGTACCAGCTATTGCGAGTATGGATGGTTCTCATTCGATGACCCCCTTTTTTGCGGAATAAAGGTGTTTGACCAGCAGTGCGTTTATCCAATAGCTGATAACGAGTTTCAAGTTTGAAATTTAAAAAATGGAAAACTACCTGGTTGTCGCTTAGTCTGTGAGGACGCCGGATCTGACTCCATGTCTTGCTGATGGTTGCCAAAGATATAATAACTGTCATCCCTCATCAGTGAATTTCCCAAGTAACACAGAGAATGCTTGCTCTGTTACCCAAATTAAATGCTTATGCGATGTTGTTTTTGTGTTGTCTGTCTGATGATGATTAAGTATGAATTCAGTGGCAAGCAGACAAGTCATTGTAATAGCTTGAGATAATTCCTCCGGTGCTGTGGCAAAGTCTTGGAATCCCATATTACTGCACTGACATTTCACTTTTCCATGCTTTGTGGCATAATGCTTGAAATGAACTGTCTATTTTTCAGAAGCTTCTAACAGTTCAGAAGAACCTGGTGGCAGGGGACACGTACAGATAACGTATATGACTCCTATCAACAGACAATAACTGATGGGTGAGATTTTTGGTGAGGCTGGGTCTACTTGACGAAAAAGGGACATCTTATTTTAAAGATGCTGCAACCTACGGATTGCTCGTCTGATGGCACTTTTAAGCATTAACACAGCTTGTTACACAACTAGCTTGTATGCAGACATCTATGGTTGGTTCACATGAGTTGTACACTTATACTGCTATATACCATATTTTTCTCCGTGAATGAAGGCAAACACTCGCCCCAAGTGGATGGATTTTCTGGCTTTTCCATATCTTTGCCATCCACACGATTGATTACTGTTGTAGTGTTGTGCTTCTTTTTTTACCTATGATTTGGCATGTCCTTGGACCTTGGAGTTTGGATCGCATTATTACCAAACTCCTCTTTTGACACCTTGATGAACGGATTAGCATCAGCAAGCACAAGCAATAGAATAATACATGCGTTACAATTTTGCTGTAGATTAACGAGAAGGTGCCCTAGATTTTCTAAGGCCAATTTTAGTAGGGTCTCATGAGCATTAAATAAGCTGACATGGTACAGTATATAAGAAGAGAGACGATAAAAGTTTTATCGGGTGAAATTGTTTCCATTAAAGAGTCTTGAAAAATAAAGATACAAAACTCTCACTAAAACTGGTCTAAAAGAGCTACCACGGCGGCGGCGGCGGCGAGAGCACCGGAGAGGTTGATGGCAACATTATTGGAGGCGGCAAGAGCGATGCCAATGCTGAACATGTGTCCTCGTCGAGCTAGAGCTATTGTATAGTTGTTGCCTTGTTGGTCTTTACCAATCTATATGAAAGAAAAATATCAAGGGACCATTTAGTTGTGCTTCTTCAGCGGCTTCCGGAGTAATGCACAGGGCTATCAAACGGGACACAACAAAATAGCTATGCGTTGAGAGAGGCCTGCGCCTGCAGGAGTTGGAGGAGCTGAAAAATATAGCTTCTTCCATCTCCTCCTTGTGATGCTCGATTGGACATTGATGTCCCAAGGTCCACATGCTTCCGTTCTCTTCCCTCACATGCCAGCGGCCGACGACATAGACCACATAGGTGCGCAAGCGTGCGAGGCTAGTGGTAGGGATGGCAGCAGAGGAGGTACAACGCGAGGTGAGGGGCGGCGATGGGAAGTTGCGTTATGGTAGGAGACGGGGCAACGAGAAGGAGTCACGATGGAAGAGGAGTTGCGGCGGAGGAGGAGAGGGCCAATGATCTAAGACAGAGCAAGAAGTCATGCGAGGTGAAAGATGAGGAGCGTGTTGGATATATCATGGGTTTGACCCGTATAATATTTAATAAATTAAATAAAACTCTATGGTACGTAACATTAAGCGTTGTATGATTTAATACTATACGAGATTTTGACTGAACGTTGATTCAACTTATATGGTAGAAAAATTTTATCTTAATTGAGAAGCTGAGAAAAGGACATAGGCGTGCCACGCGCGCGCGCGCCGCCGCCGCCGGTCGGGCCGAGGGCGAGGCGGGCGTGGCCAGTCTTTTGCCACTTAATCCACATAATTACGGGAGTTTTCTCTCCTCTATGGTGGAGGCGAATTGATTGCGTCAGTTACCGGCTCTTCCATTTTCCGTCTCCGCTTTCCGTCTCCTGGGATTCTCCGCTGCCTTTCTTCCTTCCCGTCGCAGCTATATATCCGCAGTTCTCCATCAGTCCAGATATTCGGCTTCCGCTTCCGCAACCGCTCCCGAGAGAAACTACATCTCAACAGCACTCTGGCTTCCCCGTCCCGTACCTCTGCGCGCAAGGAATAGCGGGAGAGCAGGTGCCTCCGGAACCCTCATCTGCTGAGAACCTTGCACGGGGTGAGCGGCGATTAGGTTTTTGAGGAGCAATCCGCGACTGCTCGTCTACGTACGTCTTCTTCCTGGTGGTGATCGCTCTCAGAACCTGTCTTCTTCCCGGTGATTGCTTGCGGAACACCAAGACGTCTTCTTCCTGGTAATCCGTTCATGGGACTGCACTGCGAACACCGTCCTGCATCGACTGTGGTCCACGACTTCGAGCAACGCACTATGTCGACTAGTGCGAATGGCGATGCCCTTGGCATGGGACCCTCCGCTGGGTACATTCTAATCTCTGTGATTACTGTACTTTGCGCTTTTATTGTATCGATCTGTATGTTATGTCTGCATGCTGTAGCGTTCATTAGAAATATACACATGCACATATATGCCGTCACGAACCTGCTGATGTTATATTTCTGGATTAAATTAACCATAAAAATGCCTAAATTTCTAAGAGAGCGGCTGTCGTGGTGAACTAGATAAGGGAGAGGAAGAAGGGAAGACATAAGAGATAAAAGTAGAAAAGAAAATCTTTTTCTTAATAAAATACGTGTGGAGTCGAGTTCTTAAAAGAAGAAGAGAAGAAAATAAAGAAAAAGAAACAGAAGAGCCTTAGCTCGACAGGCGTGTGAACTGCCCTTAGCTCGGCAAAAGAAAAAAAAAAAGAATATATTATAGTCATTTCACTGATTTTAACAATTTGAGAAACCGTTTATCAAATGTTTTTCTAACTCGAGAAACTGAAGAAAAGAAGTACTCCGTAGTTTGTATCGGAGAAACTACAGCTGAAATTGTTTTGCGCGACTGTAGCATTGGGTGCCACAATTATTGATCTTTGGAAATGGCCGTGCTAGCTACGTCTCCTTCCGTATGAAGTCATTTCTTGTTTTCTCTCAGAACTCAGAAGAAAGCACTATCAGCTGACTGTGGCTCGTCGTAAATGATCGTAAATTTTTAGCTAAAATAGTATTTTTCTCTCACATAAACAATATTTTTCTAGACGAAACGAACCAGCCAAGCGAACAGGCTATATATGGTTCCTGCAAATTCCTGACCAACTAGGTGCTAGTGCTACATTTTCTCCGTGATTGAAGGAGCCAACCTTCGCCTGGGCCATGTTTAGTTCCCACATTTTCCAGAATTTGGCACTATGCAAAAAGAAGATTCCCCGTCACATTAAACTTGTGGTACATGCATAAAGTACTAAATGTTGACGAAATCAAAAACTAATTGCACAGTTTGGTTGTACTCTACGAGACGAACGTTTTGAGCCTAATTAGTCAACGATTGAACAACTATTACCAAATAAAAACAAAACGCTACAGTGCATAAACAGTATCGCCGAATCCGGCGGCGCCGAATCGGCCTCCAACTAAACACGGCCCTGGTTTCAAGGCATTGATACGGGGAAGAGCTATAGCTATAGGCCTATAGCTATTCAAAGAATGTTCCTTCCTTTTTGCTGAATCTTGCACCCTTTACATGACAGAGGCATACAGCTCTGGGCACACGGCACTTCACAGTTACCCCAGCAGTGGCATGGCCTTGACCCATGCGGCGCGGCACCCCAGCAGTGGCATGGCCTTGACCCATGCGGCGCGGCATACCGCATACGGCCGTTACGTATGGCTCCGGCACAATCTTTAATCTTTATTTAGCGCCCGCCCTCCGGCTCGGTGAAGGGAAATTACCGAGCAGTAACAAATCAGGGATTGCATTTGCATGGCTGGTTAAACTGGTACTGGGCTACTGGTGAGACAAATTAGAATCCTGACGAGTAGTACTTCTGGTATCCTACACTACGGAAACGGAATGGTGTCACAGTTGCAGTAAATTTCCCTCAAACAAAGAGTGAACAAAAATTCGACAGTTTCAGTAGAATACTGGATAGCACTGACCACAGGGGGCATGGACGCATGGTGCGCATGGACACCACACACCACAGCAGCTGCCGCGAGACGGTTCAGGCAGAAATGGCCAAGATCCCTCGTATTCTGATGGGCCGAAATAAACAAAAGCGTTTCTTTCGCTTTTCGTCACGATCGATCAGAACGGCAGGCAGATGCGCCTGCCCTGGACGACATTACAAAACACCGCGCCCTATGCGGCTCTGGAAGCAGGGTTAACACAGGATTAATCTAAGCTGTCAAGTTGCTTCCATGGTTCAGCATTCGCCAATCCAACGTAGGCGCGCAACGCGATCTGCAGAAAACACCCGTTTTCCCGAGAAAACACGGCACTAGCGATGCATGTTGGTCGCCTGAAACACTTCGAACTCGGAGCAGGGGGAGTTGTTTCCTGCGTCCGATGCATGGTCGGCCGGGTAAAAAGTAGCCTTGTTAGTGTAACTGCAAATGCTAGTATGTATGCACTGGTGGGTTAGTGTAACTGCCCTGTACTTCCATTGTTAGAATAAGATTAGCTGCAGCAAACTAATCTGCTCTTGGGCCAATGGCCACAGCTGCTGACACAGATTGGTTGGAGCGCTAAAATATTTCCAGCACAAAGAACAACAGATGTAGCACAACATTTTAACTACCTATCAGGTTAGTACTAGTACGTTTGCATGACGCTGGACCAGGAAGGCTGCAGGAGAGTGAAGAAGTTTTGGTGTGGGAAAGACCGGCTTATTTCTCTAGCCGGGACAGTATTTTTCTCTCACAACATTCCAGTATAAACAGTATTTTTCAGTATAAACAG